AGCAATGCAAATATTTCGAGCAATTATCTCTCGTAAAGTTGTTTGTTTGTTGTCCTTTAATCTGCATAACCAATATACCCTTTCTGTTCTGTGCTGGCAACTGAACACAAATACTAACAGCTGGAGCAGAAGTCTTCTTGGCTTCTGGACTTCTTGGAATTAGCGTCTGGGTGGGTGGGTTCTCGTGGTTCTTCGGCTTGCAAAGGGTGGTGCTTGGGCGCTTAATAAATTAGAGCGCCGGCAGCGACTGTGCAATATGGGCGGCGGTTTCTTGACAGTTTTATGGCCACGTAATACAGCACCGAATGCAGCTCAGAAATGCGAGCTCTCCCATTCCCTTCCACCGATGGGTTTATTTTGCTCTTATTGTTTTTCTTTCACTGTGTCAGCGGTGGTGGTGCGTTGCTTTCGTTCGTTTGTGATGGCGATTAGAGCCTGATTAAGAGTGGGGCATACAATGTGACCTACATTATGGGGCGAACAGCAGGCCAGCTCTGGGGGATGGTGCAACAACACACGGACAACCCACCCTCAAGGGTTTTTTGTTGCAGAATTCATTCTACTCAAACGATTGAAACCCAAACTCTGTTTTGCTCTCTGTTGCTACTGATGTGGGGCAGTGGGAAATGCATCTCAAATGTCACATGATTATCGCACTGAGACTCCGCCCAGACATTATATCAATTTACAGCTATGCCCCATTTGCAGGCTTCAATCTAGGCAGTCGCCCCAATGCCCCAAAGAGGCAAAGTGCGAAAAAATCAAATCAAGAACAACGACTGGATAGAACGAGTATTTTTAAATGCAGGCAGCCAAAAGAGAGCCGGATGCCGAGTATCTACTTCAGAAGTTGAATGAACCAAACCGATCGGATCTGATCTTCGACTAAAATTGGTCCAAACATTAATATAATTCATTTACTTTCAGCTGTGCTTAATTCTCATTGAAATATGTATAATAATGTATTATTTGAGTTGTAAATGCATATGGCAATCCACTGCGGAAAGCTTCTTCATAAGTATTAATTTTAATCAGTTCTTAAAGGAGTTTTTCCAGATATTGCAATTTTGCAATATTTTTGCTTGGCATTCCCTTCGACAGACAGACACAAATGCAACGGATACTCACGTAATTAATTTATATTTTTAACATACATCATTTAGGACACAATAATTTTCAATCGTTGCTAGAGACCAAACATACAGAGTTGCAAGTTTACATTTTGGTGCCTAAATTGAGATCTGGAAACCGAAAACTGAAGCCGAAAATCGAAAATCGAACACCGAAAACGTGTGGCTATGGAGCAAATTTCTGCATGCCCGGTAGACCCCCTGAGAATGAGATCATTTTTAGACCTCTATCTTTCTCTCTTTCTCTCTCTCTCTCTCTCTCTCTCTCTCTCTGTGTGTGTGTGTATCTGTGTGCTGTTTGCTATTGGCCTCTTGATGTATCTTCGTGTTGTGCGGCGCTCTTTTTTGTATACAATTTTGCTAGCCAAATGTTTTTGACGTCGTTAAAATTGTTGAAAATTCCCCTGGCGCTGGAGCAACGCACATAAAAACAAAACAATGAAATAAGCAACACAAAAACGTTGACCAAAATGCAGGTCACACAGAAATAACACGACAATGAAAGCTTGCAAGGGTTCGAACAGCTGGATACCCCTCGCTTTAGACGTCACTGATCCATTGGCTCATTGACGGTGAGAATGCACCACGGTATAGCACCCGTGATCCTCCCGAATAAATGCACGGTCTATGGCCATGTCGAGCTTCTCCTCAACATTTTTCCAAAAGTTCAAATCTTCAATATTGGGCTGCGAATTCAAACGAATGGATGAGCCATGTGCATATATCCTTTCAATAATTACTGACCTGATAATATAAGACGACCGCGTTAAAGATGTCTTCAATGGTGGCTGGACGCTTGATGCTGTACACCAGCTGCACAATTGCAACAGAGTCTTGCGAGAATCGAGACACTGTATTGTATCGGGAGTAGCGGAATTCCATCTTACTTTGCAAGTTGATAGTCTTATCGATTGAAAATAGATTGTGAATTTCACAGAGAGCACTGAGCAGTTGACTGAGAGATCAAAGATTTCTCTGTTCGGAGTGTGAACGCATCGAAGAGGGAGGACAAAATCAACGGCTACTACGCTCATTCGATTCAGGGATTTAGGGAGATTCGGGTCCCCATTGGTTCTCCTATTCCCCGTAGCCTTTCGCTTATGGGAGGGAGAATCTCCAATATACTCCTCCTCTTCCAGGGTACAGCTGGGAATCGTTTGCTCGTTGCTGGTGGTTGTCGGGAGGAGGAGGAGGAGGGTAACGGAAATGGACTTGGATAATTTGGGGAGCGCACATAAAGAATAAAGAACCCAAAACAGAATAGTTATCAACCGAATTAAAATAATAAAACTGCAAATGCGGACAACAAAGGGAGGCAGAAGCACAAACAGAGGCATAGAGCGTGAGCGAGACAGTCATAAAGGGGTAATCGTTTTTGGCTCCGCTTAATGGAGGTCAATATCGTTGTTATACAGTACATACAGCCTTGTCTCAGTCTCGATCTCCGTCTCCGTCTCGAAATTTAAATTCAAATGCAGCAGCCGTAGATCAGGGGACTGGAAAACTTGTCTACAATACGAGTACCGAGTACCGAGTGCCGAGTGGCATGTGGCAAGTAATCCGATCATTCGGTTGAGGTGAGAGGCAATCATTTGCATACACGAATAAATAATGCAAAGTGGCAGCCACCCAGGGTATCACAAAATTAGAGGGCGTATGGAAAGGATTTTGGAGCGATTTGCAACCCAAAGAGATTTTTTGTATGCCACAGAAGGCAACATAAATCTGAAATATCTAATTATTTGTACAGCTGCAGCAACTCATAACATGATCATGTATAGAACACCATTGAAGCTTCCCGATCCTGGGCTAAAATGCAACTCCTGCACTCTCTCTCAAATATCTTTCAGTTTTTTGGCACATTTTCATGAGCGCATCCGTTCGATTATGACAAATGTGTAGCCCCAAAGCTCTACCCAAATGACGCACGAACATATGTGCGTACCCAAATTTCATAGCTTAAAACAGGAACTACGAGTATTGTTTGCTTCCAAGAACTTGTTGAACGAAACACCCATAAAGAGTTGAGTTATTAACTGTTGCTCGAGTCATCAGTTGTTGGAAGTGTGAAGGTGGAATCGAGTGCTCATAAATAGATAAATATTTTTGGTGAAAGTACAACAAAGACATGTTGCCCTTACCCGGGCCACACGCAGAGGGCTTCTACCACTTGCAAATACGTAATTCGCCCCATGGGGGACACTCACCTGTTGAACGTTGAGCGGCCGCAAATGACGTGTTTTTTTGGTTTGTGTGTGTATGTTTTTTGTATGTGCAACCGGTTTAAACTTTTTTGCCTATTTTTATTGTTTATTTAATTTGTTTATTTCTTAATGCGTTGCTTTTGTTTTTCTAGAAGAAAGAAAAAGAATTGTGACACAGAGAAAAATAAAACGAACAGAAATACGAGCACAATGTGTCTGCGAAAACAACAAAAAACAATGCAAAAAAAAATTCATATCTTATCTTATCGAAGAAGAGGAGAGCAGTGGAGCGGAGTGGAGAGCGCTAACGGAGGGGGGGGGGGAAGCAGGTGGAAGAATTTCCCATTATCATCAAATGATAAGCCACACCGCCGATACAGTCGTTTCATTCTGTTTGTTGTTTGGTGATTTCGGAATGGAACTTGTGATGGGGTTGTAACTACAATAAATAGTCGATCGTACTCTCGCTGATTGTGTTCTAAAATTGCACGCTGACGTCAGACTACGCTCCAAAAAAAAAGGTAGAGAGGGATGAGTCACTGCTCACTCTCCCCCCCACTCCACACTCTGGCAGGCAGCCGATCTAACGAGCGAGGCGCCCTGACGTCATAAGCTTAGGGGATAGGACAACAACAAAGAGAAGAGGCAAAGAGAGAAGACAATAGGGTTGCACTTGAAACGGTAGCCACCAAACCGAACCGGTTCACCTTCAGCTGATCACCACCCAGCAATGGCATCCTGCCGTCCCGCTCTACCACTGGCTCTCTTCACTGCCATTCAGCATCACCAGAGCAATTGCTGCTGCTGGGACCGTTCACTTGCAAAAGAACAACAACAACAAAACAACAACGAATACCAACAAACTAAAAGATAACATTATCTAGATATATTTATGCAGGTAAAGTGTCTATGTTGTGTGTATGTGTGTGCTGTAGGTATACGTGCGTTATATTAATAAATTACAGTTTCCGAAAATGCGCGCGCGTCACTTACACTTTTACACAAAACAACACAGCACAAAACAAAAAATAAACATTCGAGTTCGAGTTCTAGTTGTACTCAGTGCACAGTACACTTACGCCAAAATGCCGGCAAACAAATTTTGGGGGGGTGAAACAGATTGGTACCCGTACCTAGCGCTCGTGCGTGCGATTCGTAGAAAAAGTTGCGATTGAAAACAAAACAGACGGCGCAGCTTTGGCAAGGCCGCCAAAATAGTAGGCTAGTGTGACCCGTCGGGGGATGGCAGGGAAATATCATGAAAGTGGTGGCAAAAAGATGCGAGCAGTGTGACCGCAGACTTATCGATAAAATATACAGTCTGACCCTCAAAAAGTTACCTAAATAAATATGTTTATTTTCAAATTATACCGGGAAAATTTATTGTCTTTAATATTTATATTTGAAATTTAGAGGAGTGGGAATGAAATATAATGCTGAAAATGATAAGATGATACTGCTGTTACTTCTGGGTATTTGCAGACAATTTTTGCACAAAGAAAATTGATTACAAACACTTTTCTGGACAGTGCTTGCAAGTGTGACCATCAGTAGGTAGCATGAAAGCACTCCAGTGGTAAAAAAGGCGGTGTTTTTGAAACTGGACACTTATTAGTGTGGCCTTTCAAAGCAAACGTTAGCAAGGGGGGAAGCTCGGCAAGGGTGGTGATTAACATTGAGTGATTAACACAGCCGGTTTTTGATCAAAATAAGAACCGAAACCAAAGCAATCCGCTTTAAATATGTCTGAAGTTCAATGCGCCAACAATTAGAACCGGTCGCAGCGCTTTGCCACCGTTCATTATCGCCCAAAAGTCACACCGAAACCCCCAGATGGTGTGTCACAAAGTCAAGCTCATTTGGCGATAATAACACAGATACAGGAGGAATTGTAGCAACAGTTCAATTCAAATCGCGCTATTATTTCTGGTGCCAATTGAGCGCGCGTGCCTGGAGAGTAAGCGAAGGAAGTTGCCCGGCAGGTTTCGCTTCCGCTGCTGCTGCGGCCAGACGCTCCCAAGCGGTCTGATCCGAACCGCCAAAGTGCAGTACGCGTTTGGCTGCGAGCACGAAAGGAGTAGAGACACCACCACAACATGAACCAGTCCACAAAGCTGCTGCTGGCGATGCTGCTGCTGCTCCCATTTGCGGCAGGTAATAGAGAAAAGAAATTTGTTGTCGGAGATAGCCGGATTTTCCATGTACTTTCGTTTTAGGGGCCACACCTGCCATCAGTCCGCTGTCGCAGCGTGGCATCATCTTTCCCAAGGAGTCCTTTGACGACTGCTTTCTGGATGATGCCAAGCAACTGGCTGGCACCTGCAAGCTAATGCAGGACTGTCCACCGGCACTGAAGCGTTGGCTGGACAAGCGCGAGTCGCCCAAGACTTGCTATTTTGTTAAATTCGATCACTACATTTGCTGTGAGCCGGATAAACAGCCACTGATAGACACCACCACAACCACAACAACAACAGAGCGACCCCCACTGCCGCCTCTGCCTCCATTCAAGAAGCGCCCCAGCGTTCTGGGTGAGTGAGATAATTAAACGCCATTCTAAGGCGGTTTATCATGACTAAACCTTGGATTGACTTGGGTTTTGGATTTCCCCCTGGCAGCGTGCTACGACTACAACGATGTGAAGCAGCTCAACGAACGCGACATTACGTTCGTGGTGTCGGTGGTGGGGGGAAAACCGACAGCCTACCGGGAGTACCCCTTCATGGCGGCCCTTGGCTGGCGTTCCAATTTCGATGAGCGGATCTACTATCGCTGCGGCGGTGCCCTGATCGCACCCACATTTGTGCTCACGGCAGCTCATTGCATTGACTTTGGCGGGTAAGCGCAGTATTATTATGTACGACGAGATCTAATCCTCATCCATCCATAAACAGCGCTCAGCCCAGTCAGGTGCGTTTGGGTGGCGATAATCTCACGCTGGCCACGGGCGAGGATTTCAACATTAAGCGCGTTGTGATACATCCGGAGTACGATGCCAGCTCGGCGTACAATGACATTGCCCTGCTGGAGTTGCAGCTGAATGACCAGTTGCAGGCGCCTTCACTGCGTCCCACTTGCTTGTGGGACCAGCATGAGCTGGCCGACACAGAGCTGATGGCCATTGGCTATGGCCAGACGCGCTTTGCGGGCCTCTCCTCGTCCCAGCTGCTGAAGGCGCCCCTGCAGCATGTGCGCAACGAGCAGTGCCAGATCCACTATCCAGCCGAGACACTCTCGCTGGGCGTGGTGCCCACGCAGCTGTGTGCAGGCGATGCCACTCGCCAGCGTGATACGTGCCAGGGTGACTCCGGTGGCCCACTGATCATGCAGAACGGACCCTTCGGCTATGTGGTGGGCATCACATCGCTGGGCCAGGGCTGTGCCAGCGGTCCACCCTCGGTGTATACCCGTGTCTCCAGCTACGTGTCCTGGATCGAGGGCATTGTGTGGCCCGGTGGCTACAAGGAGCAGATACCACTGCCGCCTGCGCCCGAATTCGATCTGAGAGGAACGGTCTGAATGCCACCAGCCTTGTCAATCAATTATTTATATATTATTTCATAATTTAAGCACAATTAAATTTAATATTTACATGGTAATAGCTCCAAGGGAACTCCTCCACTTAACCGTACTCCGTCTAATGGCTAATCGATCGATCGTTGCTGTTCTTTGCCGTTCCGTTCGTTCTGTTTCCCGCGAAGTATTTTCAGCTGTTTTTTGGCCAAAACAGTTGGCTTGGTGCTCCCCTATAAAGCTCGTAGAGCGATGATTAGCTAGTATTCGTGGCCCGTACGTAGAAGGCTAAAGATGCGTCGCTCTGAATGGAATCCCTGTGGTGGTGGTGTGGTGCTGCTGCTGCTTCTGCTCCTGGCAGGCGGCTGGAGCCTGGCCTGGGCCTATCTGCCCGATGTGAATATCTTCACCAACTACCGCACCGAGGTGTACAATGGTAAGCGAGCGGATGCGAGGGATGACCCAAGGGATCACTAAATCGATTCCCCTTTTTGTAGGCATACCCTCGGAGATTGATACGACGCCGTTTGTGAGAATTGCGGACAACTATTACTACATCGAGACGATGAACAAGGTGAATTGGTTTCAGGCGGCCGGTGCCTGTCGCATGATGAACGCCCATTTGGCTTCCATTGAGGACAAGGCGGAAATGGAAGCGCTGATTAAGTATATGAAGGCCAAGGGGTTTAAGAACAACGATTACTTTTGGATATCGGGCAATGATCTGGGCACTGAGGGTGCCTTCTATTGGCTGTCCAATGGCCGACCCATGACCTATGCCCCCTGGAATGGGCCCAAACAAATGCCGGACAACTATGGGGGCAACGAGAACTGTGTCCATATGTTCGCCACTCGCGAAATGATCAACGATGCCAACTGCAAGATCCAGATGCTGTATGTCTGCGAAGCCAGAGAGCCGAAAACCTTTAAATTTACATACATCAAATGGTAGAAATGATGCCATTCCGCACACCAGATAAGACTAGAGTACACAAGACACAAAGCATAGTTTTAGCCGGCATTTTTATTATCCGCTTTTTTTTGTATCATTTTTTATCGTAATCGTAATCGTATCGATGGTCGATCTCTCATTATCATTTATCATTTATGTTTTCTTTGTGTTTTTCTGATCATTCCGTTTCCATTTTATGTGTTTTTGTTGCTTTTTCTGTACTGCTAATTATACAATCAGTTAATTTTTACTGCATATTATTCTTTACGATTTTTCTTTGGGCTTAATATCTATTTGAATTTTCTACTGAATATGTTGCACCACATACGCATACATGTTCATGTACGTAGGTTGCTTCAATCGTTTTCTTAACACTGTATTTTAGTTAATCGTACGTACATTATATATCTCCTAAAATCGCCACAAAGGAAACAAATGTTCCAAGAAATGTTCACATTTTTTTTGGGGGTTTTGCATTTGTTTTCTAGCAACAACGTCACACAAATTCACTTACTTGCGATGCACATGTGTGTGTGTGTGTGTGTGTATTCTTGTATGCAAAGAAGTACAAAAAATAAAAGAGAGGGAGAGAGAGAGAGTGTTGGGAACTAACTGTTAAATTCAGAGTCTATGTTGAATGGAATTCAATTGAGAGAATAAGAGAAATGAGTTGAGTGTGTGTGTTTTGGTTAGTTACAGTGCTTACGTGGCTAGGGTTGAAACAGCGATTTGGATATTAGAAAATCTACGACATAACCTCAACATTAATATTGATGCGCAGTTAGGCATGTTATGCGTGTGTATGCATTTATGTGGTGTGTATTCTAAGTAGCTATGCGTTTGAGAGTCCTTAGAATTAGCCTACATATATTCTAGACATTTTGTCCAACTTGCTTTACACACACACATTCATATACATATACATACAGATAGTACGTATAAATTCACAAGTCATGAATTGTAGATCTTTATATTTAGTTAATAGTAGGTAACTACATACATACATACATATAAATATTCAACAGACGAGTGCATAAATTTAATAATTCTTAAACATTTACTTATGTAGCTTCCTCTCACTCATTATCTATCTTTCTTCGCTCTCCGGCCTTTGCTGTTACCGTTACACCTTCGTATTAAGTCTGCCTGTCCTGTCTTTCTATGTGTGTGTATGTGAGTGCAGCAGTATGCGTGTGTCTATGTGTAGGTGGGCTTCAAAGCTCAATCTCTCTCTCTCGCTCCCTCTTTCTGCCTGTCAGCTGCGCAAGAGCTTATTAGAGTTGTTGTAATGATCTTCAGCAGCGTTACGGAAATGGAGAGGAGAGGCGACGACGGGTACTTGCGACCTTAGCCAACACTTGCCGACAGTCAACACAACATCGATTACCAGACACCGATTAGCTATCACAATCGAGTCGAACGATTGACGCGCGCGCGAAAAGAAACATTTCAATTCTTACTCGCGTAACATAATCTCGTAGATATTCTGCGCTTTTCTCGTAGATCATTCTTTTACATATCGGTTACAGTTTTAGATAGTTTTGTTGTTTTTTTTGTAGTTTGTTTTCTCTTATAGATGGAAAGAAGAACAGCCTAAAATGTTATACATGTACAAAGTCTCTGAATGTTCATCTCTTCACTCATTTCTCTTCGTTTTAGTTTTAAAAACCTTTCTCAAAATGGCAGTGCGTATAGAGAGGGGACGATCGGGTGGCAACGGTAGGGGGATCGCAAGAACTAAATGTATAATTAGAAAAAAAAAACTTCAATTTAAATAAAATAAATGGCAGGAATCTCTATGCGTAATGCACTTTTGCAATAATAAATATTAATAAATAATTGTACACACATTTTTTAGTTTCTTTTGTGGGTTTTGTTTGTTTCTTTTTTTTTTTGGGTTTCTTTTTGTTTGTTTGTTGTTTTTTTTTGTGTTGTTAGTTTTGTTTTAAAACACACTTGCATTTGTTGTTTCTGTTTTCTAGGGTTTAGGGCGAGGGCGGGGCAATGTGTGTTCATACAGGCTACAATATTGTATACTATACTTAGAACATAGCATAATAATAATAAAAACTAGCAATCAGCATTATCATTATAATAATAGTAATAATAATAATCATAAAAACATTTACATTCTGTGTTGTATGTAGTAATAGGTGTAAGCCTTTGATCATCAAAAAACACACATTTTAAGCTATGTGGCGTGTGCGGAGCGGGGATATAGAATAAAGATATAAGAATTCGCTTCTTTTTTTTGTTGTTGATTTTAGCATGAATTTCGATCTTAGATTTAGGGTTGTTTTTAGAAGGTTATTTTTTGTTTTTGTACAGTTGCGCACTTAATAATAAATAGCTTGAGCGCATGATATCCAGGAGGAGGTTGGTTGCTTGGCTGATTGGTGCCGGAGGATGGAGGAAGGTTGTTTTTGCTGTAGAGCATTCTCAGGTTTACAAAAGATATAGTATATCATTTACAAAGATTATACACAAATCTGGGAGTGTGTGTTGGAGTGGGGGGTGGGGAAAAAGAAGGGAATTTTAGACATTTATAATCTAGATTATTAATATGTGTGTATGCAAATGTATGCATATATATTATATATGTAAAAAAAAACGTATTAATTAATGAAAACGGCCTAAATGTTGTTTTAAATATAAGGTATATTACTATATATAGATACAAGTTGTATATATATATTCACATTGATGGATATACTTGCTAATTTCATAATTCATTTTTACTTCATCATCATGGGATCCTACATCAATGGTTTGCATCCTGATCCAACGCTTTTAACACATATTTCCGACTATATATAAATTGGTTTTGTTTTGTGTTTTTGTTTTGTTTTTTTTTGTTTGCCTTTCAGCTTTCATATTATTTTAGAAACAAAATGAAATACACTTAGCGCAATGAGTAGGCAAAAGTTGTTTGCTTTTTGTTCTGTTTTCTCAAGTCTAGTTTTTAGGAGCGAGCAGGAGGGAGGGACAGCAGTTAGTTGATATACGCTTCTAGGAGAGTGCAGAAGGCAGAAGGGTTTACAGACTTTCTTTTACCTTATGTCGAGAGTGTATATATGTATATATAAATATTATTTTTTAATTCGAAAAATGCAGAACATTTGAAGTACGAGTACGCGTGAGAAAGGAGGAATATACGACGAATATTGAATACACTCAATAAATATATTAACGCTAACTCTCTTCTCCTCTATCCTTCTCTAACACTATCTCTCGTTTTCTTTTATTACGATTACGCTTACGCCTACTATTACTATCTCTGTCTCTCTCTCTGCTGTGCTTTGCGGTTTGTCTGCTGCTACTGCTGTCCATCTCTATCCCTGTCTCTGCTGTCGTATGGGCTAGCTGTCAATATGTTTTTGTGTGTGTGTGGGTGTGTGAGTGTTGTGTCTCCCTACGTTTCGGCCTATCGTGACTTTTGATTGCGATTCCTTCCGGATCGATTTGACGAGGATGAACTGCTGCTGGCAACTGATGATTCAGAGGATATAGAAATGATTGATATAGCAGACGAGGAGTTTACCAAAGTGCCACGCAGCGGTGGCAATCTGTTGCTATTATTATTTCCTGCTGCCGCAACAGCTGTGGGCTTTTGAAAGCGATTCCCAGATTGTCGAAAATGTTGCGTACGCTGCTGTTGTTGCACATGCTGCTGCTGCTGCTGTTGCTGTTGCTGGTTCTGATGCTGTTGCTGCTGGCTCTGATGATGATGATGCCGATGCTGCTGCTGCTGCTGATGATGGCTATTGTTGTTGCTGTGGTGTTGATAGGTGCTTTTGTTCAACGTCGTCTGCTGCTGCTGCATCGGTGGCGGTACATAAAACTGCTGGCGATAGTAACTGTTGTTGCTGTTGTTATTGCTGTTGCGCTGATTGTTGTAGTGCCGCCCGCCGCCTCCTCCTCCTCTTCCGTTTGGTGGTGTGGTGGACATAGAAACTACAGCTATGGCATCATTGCTTCCCGTTGAATGGCGATCATCCTCCTCCTCCTGTTGATGGTGCTGGTGCTGCTGCTGGTGGTTGGACGACACATTGATGTCTGATGGCTGTTGTAGTTGTGATGAAGAGGTTATACATGTATGTTGGTGGCTGCTGATCATGCTGGCCGCAGTTGCTGCTGCCGCTGGACCACCAATACCAATCCCCACTCCACCATTACGCAATTGGCGCAGGTGATTTTGATTTTGATTCGGATTCGGATTTTGATTCTGAATTAAACAATGATTCTGATGTTGGATTGGATGGGCGGCACCAGCGGCAGCGGCTGCAATTGCGGCCAGCATGTTCGCATAGCCGGCAACCTGATGCTGCGGCTGCTGCTGCTGCTGCGGCGGCTGCTGCTGCTGTTTAAATTGGACAGTGAACTGCTGCTGCTGCGGCGGCTGCTGCATGAGGAGACCGGCGACTACCATTCATCATGTATTTAGGCGTGTGGGTGTGTGCATTACCGACGAGCCCGCTGAGGAGCTATTGTTGTTGTTGTTGTTGTTCCCATTTCCATTTCCATTTACATTCCCGCTGCTTCGGCTGCGACTTCCATTTCCGTTTCCATTACCATTCCCGCTCCAGCTCATATTGCTGCTGCTACTGCTGCTGGTGTTGCTGTGACTTCTGCTGGCTCCTGTTGCCACCACAATTGGCAATGTCATACCAACGGCGGACACTGGCATCGGCATGGGCATGGCCAGAGTAATGGGCACCACTGTGGCGGCACCACGGCCATTGGGCGGGGGGGAAGAGCTTATATCGATAAACTCCATGGGTACAACCGTGGAAGAAGCTGCAGCTGCTGCTGCTGTTGCATTCGATGCTGTTGCTCCTCCTTTTCCAGTCGATGCTGGCGTTGCTTCCACAATTTCACAGTCTTTGCTATCCTCGGAATTATCACCGGACGAGGTGCTGCCCCGCCGATGCCGCACCTGCTGCTGCTGCTGTTGCTGCTGCTGTTGTTGCTGCTGGTGCTTCAGCTGCTGTTGCGTTGGTGGCTGCGATTGCTGGTGCTGTTGCTGCTGGGTGGCAGCCACGGCCACAGCCATCGCTGTCGTCGTCGTCGTCGTATATGGTTGGCCTAGATGGGGATGCGCATGCCCATGCCCCGCATGGCCGTGGGCTTGCACCTGCACCGGATGATAGATCTGTTGGACCACTGTACCGGAGGGCATAATCACATATTTGGTTCCATTCGGAGTGTAGCCGGCCGGCATTGGAGAAATGCGATCCACCAGCAGCAGATGTTCAAAGTTCTCGCGTATCCATTCACGATAATCGATAACATCGTCGGTTATGTGGATAATGCGACCTTAGGCGAGGAGAAATCAAAGGAAACAATTCGATTAGGAACTCAGATCTGTCAGCAAACGCCTGAGGACTCACCCAACACTGAATCGGTGCGTGGATCGATGCCCAAGAGATTGAGTGGACTGACAGCGAGTGCGAGGACACGGTAGGCGCACCTGAAGGCCTGCTGGACTCCAAAGACTCCATAACTGCTGCGTCCAATATCATTGCCAGGCGTCAGGGGATCCTCGATGCAAAGCAGCGACGGTCGATGTCCATCGACCATGTCACGTTGCAGCTCATCCTTGGCCATGTAGCGGCCCCCATTCTTGATCGAGATCCCAATGCGCATGTAATTGAAGCGACGGCCATAGAGCTCAAAGAACTCGAGCAGCAGCACGCCCAAGTTGGTGGTGTCGTGATAGATGCCACGCGGATGCAGCTGCAGGAAGCTGATGCACATCAGGATCAGCGAATAAGATGAGATGCCTCCTGTGAACACCTCATTGAGATCACGCAGCAATAGGAACTGCTTGAGTACCAGCACCAGCTTCCCCAGCACCGGATAATCGCGCTTAAACTTTTTGATAAGCTCCGCGGACTGAACGCCCGACTGCATATTAAACGATATGTCGACCTTCACCTGGGTCTCACGATCCGTCAGCTTAATAATCGGCACCGATGCCTTATCCAAAACACGAACCGTGCACGCTTCAGCAATCCCGCGATTAACCAGCTCGTATTCCAGTGTTCTCAATGGTAATTTCTCCCACAAACCTGCAAGCCAAAAAATAAAGAATAGGAATTAGAATCAGTATCAGTATCAGAGAGATACTCAGAGACACTCACCCAAGACAACGAGATCAATATCAGAGGTGGGCAAAAAGAGTCCAGTACGAAATGAGCCAAAAATTTCGACCACCGCCTGTGGCCATATTGTATGGACAACATTCTCGATTCGCTTCACAACCTCATTGCGTATGGCATGCTCACAGGGTGTGGGCAGCACATACTGATAGAAATGCTCAATTTCCTCGTGCAGACCAACGACACCTTCACCATAGGGATAGTCCGGTTTGCGCCAAGGTTCGCCCTTATATTTTGCTATCATCGCCATATGATTGTTCATGTAGTAATGTGTGACACCAACTTTGTTGTTCTCTGGACGTTTTTTACGTGACGGATTATAGTAAATGATATTTGTGCGATTACTTTGGTTTAACGTGTCATTCATTACGCCGCCAACTACAGTTGATACAGTTGATGTTGCTACAGTTGATGTGGCTGCTGTTGTCGAAGCGCTTGACGTTGTGGCAGGAGTGCTGGTGCTAGTACTGGTAGAGGTACTGGTAGTACTTGTGGTGCTGCTGCTGCTGGTGGTTGCAACTGTTGCTTCAGTTGCTGCACCTGCAACTGCTGCTGCTGTTCCTGATATACTGCTGTTTGTTGAGGTTACAACTGGCTCGTTGCTGGCACTACTGTTGCTGCTGGAGTTACTGCTGCTTGAGCTGCTGCTGCTGCTACTGGAGCTGCTATTGGAGTTGTTGTCTTCACCCGCAGCAGGGCTACTGTTGTTGCTGCCGTTGCCGTTGATTTGAGGCAGGATTTCAAGTGAATCCGCACGAAAGTTGGGCACGCGACTCTGGGTGATGCTGATAGCGACGGCGGCGGAGGCGGTTGGTCGCGTTAGAAACGCCTTGCCGTTGCCGTTGCTGTTGCTGTTGCAGTGACTGTCGTTGGTGTTACTGCTATTTGTGGTTGTGGTTATTGTTGTGGTGTTGGTGCTGCTTGTGGTGGTGTGGCTGGTGGTGCTGCTGCTGATGATTTTGGTGCCTCCTGGATTGCTGCTGCCTCCTCCTCCGTTGTTGGTCGCTAGCTGTAGCTGCTGATCAAGCAATGCGCCCATTTCCTGGGCATTCGTCTCCCAAATCTTTAACCATGTGCGCAGCGATGGTCCCTCCTGTTCCTTCTGAAACCAGCCAACAAATGGATCCATTCAAATTCAGATGCACACAATTGTTGTTGGCTGGATTTTTGTTTGTTTTTTTTTTTGGTGTAAGCCGAGGGGAGTGCCCGTTATCACTCTCACTCTCTATCTATTGAAGGACCTACCGAACTGATATCTGTGATGCACAAAAGAACTAAATAGTGTGTATATTTTCTGATGAGAGATTTGAAATGAGAATTTCTTGCTCTCTCGCTTCCTTGCTTCCGTCCTTCGTTCCTGCTAGGACTCTGCGGATAATCCTTTACTTCATGAGGATCGAGAATATCAGTTTTCCATTTGGAAACTTCTTGAACTCACTGTTCCCGCTCCGACAAGTACCTGCAAGGAAACCGAAAACAATTGTAAGTGAGATTTTTTTCGGCAATGTATTCCGTCTCTTCGTTTTCCTTCTAGAAAATCAGAACAGGAGTCATTGGAGCGTTGCCACCTGTTATGCGCATAACTGTGCTTTGGGTTCATGTGCGTTGGTTGTCTGTATGTGTGTGGGTTATTGCGACAGCTGATAGAGATGAGCAACTACTGATAATTCTACCGCCAAAGTTGAAAGTTCTCAAAACGGTTGTACATATAATTAGTTTGTTGCTATTGCAAATCTGTTTTGTGTGCACTAAATGGACAACTGCTTTTCCATAACCATAATGATTGCATGCGCCTGCCTGCCTGCCTGCCAGACAGACAAATGGAAAGCGCTAATGGCCACCAGGCATTTATTCGAATGATGCGCTCTTTTCTACAAATAGAAAACGGCGCGGCAGTACCCACCCCCGGTCCTATCTATTCGACGTCATCACTGGTTGCTGCAGCAAAATGCAGCTGAAGCGTTCATCACCAGGCGCCAAGCGAAAATTGTTTTTCAGAGCGAAAAACATACACAACTAATTTCTCTCTCTCTCTCCCTCTCTGAATGCACAACACACACAGTACTTGCTCACATGCACTTGGGATATACAGACAAAAAAATAAAACTTTAAAATTGGGCCATCAATAGCAGCAGCAGCACTCAAATAATACAATAAGTCGCTAGAGCGATAACAATTTGGGTAATGCCAGTCATAGAGCAAGTGCTCACGAGACTCTCGTCAAGAAAAAAAAATATTATATCGATGGATGTTCACACACACACACACACACACACGCGAACACAACCCACACCCCACACACAAAAAGCACAACCACTGTATGCATATATGTATTGGTGTTTTCTCGTGCAAGGGCGTACAGGTGGCCGTTGTATGACTGCCAAAAGGTGGTTCTAGCATGAGAGAGAGGGTTGGGGGCCAGCGCATGCCCCCACACATATACATATGAAGAGAAAAGCGGCTTCGATTATGCAAAAAAAAATACAATTGGAAAAAAACCCCGCTAATTATGTTGAAGCCTATGAACAGCGCACACAAATGCCACACCATCAAAACACACACATTTTTAAACTTGTCTTGCACTAATTTTCACTGTAACTCCATGTGCGAAACAAATTTTCATTTATGGGAAAACTTTGATTTTTTAAACAGTGGATGCACCGTAAACGTACAGTTCAGGACAACACACATACACACAAAATTTTGGCAAATTAACACTTTCTTGCTGCTGGTCAAATCCAGTGTTGACTAAGTTGTTGAAGCGAGATAACACGTACTAGAAGCAGCGGCGGCAGCACAGACCAAGGCACAGATGGATTTATGTTTGTGCGTTTTAGCGAAATGCGGGTCTTAATTGTATGCAGCAGCATTGGCTCATATTCATTCACCCTGCCCCGAAATGTAGTTCAAATTATTTAACATTTAAATTATTACACCCAAATGCTCGTGTAATAGGACGGCCACATGCGCTCTTATCGATAGGTGTCGGCGGTAGGTGGCGCTGCAACCAAATCAGACATTTGTTATACAGCACTGCCGGTCCAATGTAAACATTTAATTTATGCAATTGCATTTTTAACACAATTCATATTAAAATCAATTAAAATGTATTTTATAATTCATTCAAACACTCAGACAGGAAATACACTCAAGAGTACAAGCAAAAAAAAAACGCAAATACGCTGAAAACACCTCTGCCTAACGCTCCCTCTCGCGTAATTCCGTTGGAATTTTTCACACACATTTTTTTCTGCTTTACCTTGACGAGTTCTATTCTGTTCTCTCCCTCTCTCTTTAGCTTCGATTGCGATGGATTTCAAGTTTAGCACATACACACACACGACACAAACACATACGTATACGCACTCAAGTATGCATACACATGTTCAAAAAAAAAAGAAGTTTTCAAATGCAATTTTTTCTCTCCACACTTAAACAGAAATGGAATCGCAATCCGCCCCAAAAATTAATGGAAAATTACAGTTGTTGCTGTTCTTTTCTCTATTGCCTGGCAATGTAGCTGTCACTGGCTGCGTTTTTATCAATTAGTTGTTCAGTTTTCGCTATATATCCTTATAAGCGCACTCACAATTTCTGGTTCTTGACTTTCGTTGCTTCTGCGAATCGAATCGAACCAAAGACGACGACGACTGTGTGCCTCCCCGCTTGTCCGACCCGGGGGCAGTGGGTTGCTATGCCTTTTTATGCACACACCGCACTCCGAGGTACACACAAACACACACACGCACACACAGGAGCGCACGCACGCACTCACAAGCACAGTGAGTTTTTTCGAGAAACGTTAACTCGTTGCAATCTATTGATTGTTACGGCTGCCAACGTCACTGTTGAATTTTCACAGTTTATACTTGGTTTTCATGCGTTTTTTATGCGTTTTCTATGGGTTTTCCTTTCGAATTACAACAAAAAACGACAGCAAAATTGCGAACACGCGAAGGAGAGCAGTGTGACCGCGGATTTATCGAAAAAAAATATACCATGCATTCCTCGTTAACATACCGAGGAAACTCATATTCCACATTTTTGATATTCTATTTAATATCACATCGTGGTCATTTTTGTTTAGTGGATAAAGATAAATGATGTTCTGCAAGGAAATAGACGAACAGCCTCTTAAGTTTTTTAACGCAGGGTTTTCATAGAGGGATAGTTGTTTTTACTGTAGTATATTTACGGTATATTTTGAAAATAAGGTACACTTATAAGTAAAAAGCGGTATTTTGTATCGATAAGTATACGGGCACACTGCTCTTCATTTAATCTTCGCGCTTATTGAGATTAAAAAGAAATGTTCAGAAATCCAGAAATTAGTTGTTAATCAATTGGAAAAATGTGTCGATTATTGTGTGTTTCTTTGTTTCTGTTGCATTTTTTATTTGCGAGTCAATTTGAGAATTCAGCAGCAGCCGCATTTTCTGCACGCCAGAACCGCAACGATTTCGAAGGTGATCAGCAGACGTCTGAATCGGTGTCTCCTGCTCCAACTGGAACTACAACAGCAAGTACAGGTAAGTGATTAATCTTCCAATTTTTGTAGAGCTTGATATTTGATATTTGTCGATTTAAAACTTTCCTGAGACATTTTCGCAATGGCTACCGATGAACCGTTATTTTGTGTCAATAGTGTCATCCCGTTCTAGCGCATTTGTGCACAGTTATATTTACGGTTATCTGCCCTTGCATCTCTTTCTAGCCACCAGCGGACTGCTGAAAAAATGTCTTCCATGTACCGGTGTGAAATGCGTGCCGCAAATCCAATGTCCAGCCCATGTCCGCATGGAAAGCCATGAGAAGCCGCAAATTTGCGATCTTCCAGCCGGCAAGTTCGGCTACTGCTGCCAGACAGGACAGAACCACACCGTTCCGCGCTCGGTCAGCAGGGAGCGTCGCACTGATTTTCCCAGCTTTCTGTCGCCCGACGTATTGGACGAGGCGCGGCGCAACTTCGAGCATCTTATGCATGGTGTGGCCCAGATACCCGTTCGTCGGGGTCTGCCCGACTTCAGTCACGGCATTGTCTTCCACTCCACGGCCAAGGAAGATTTGCATAACTTTGCGCTGTCCAACAACGCCCTCGAGCAGGTCTTCACCACACAGCTGTTCAGCAAGAAAGAGCAGGTGCCTGTGGACGATATCATCACCAACAACGTGCCGGTTAAGTTCACAAAGACACCGCTGGCCCAGCACTGCCAGGCACCGGTAATCTGCAGGAACATCCGATCCGTGTATCGCAGCCACGACGGCACATGCAACAATCCATTGCCAGCGCGGTCGCATTGGGGCGCTGCCGGCCAGCCCTTAGAGCGTATGCTGCCGCCGGCCTACGAGGATGGCATCTGGAATCCTCGCGTCCACTCGACTGATGGCACTCCACTGTTGGGAGCCCGCAAGATCTCACGCATCCTTCTGGCCGATATCGATCGTCCCCATCCCAAGTACAATCTTCTGGTGATGCAGTTTGGACAAGTTCTGGTTTGTATAGCAAGAGGAGCTTCTGCGAAGAGAATGGAATGATTCATTCCACGTCCATTTTGCAGGCGCACGATGTCTCGCAGACCTCCACGGTGCGTCTCGAGGATGGGGATCTGGTGCAGTGTTGTTCTCCTGGCGGCAAAGTGGCATTGAATCCGCAGCAGAGCCACTTTGCCTGCATGCCGATCTCTGTGGATCCGGATGATGAGTTCTACAGTGCCTTCGGTGTGCGTTGCCTGAACTTAGTGAGGCTCTCCCTTGTTCCCAATCCCGACTGCCAGCTCGGCTATGGCAAACAAATGAGCAAGGTGACGCACTTCCTGGACGCCTCGCCAGTATACGGCTCCAGCCAGGAGGCCGCCCGTGAACTGAGATCATTCAGAGGCGGTCGCTTGCGCATGCTGAACGATTTCGGGCGGGACCTGCTGCCGCTGACTAGCGACAAGAAGTCCTGTCCCAGTGAGGAGGCCGGCAAGTCATGCTTTAAATCGGGTAAATACATTGTCTGGTTCCTTGTGTCTCATGTGGCTAATGCCTAATGTGGCTCTGCAGGCGATGGACGCACCAATCAGATCATATCGCTGATAACCCTCCAAATACTCTTCGCTCGCGAGCACAATCGTGTGGCCGACATACTGTCGCAGATCAATCCATCGGCCAGCGATGAGCGAATCTTCCAGGAGGCGCGGCGCATTGTCATTGCCGAAGTGCAGCACATCACCTACAACGAGTTCCTGCCGATTATTATTGGGCCGCAGCAGATGAAGCGATTTCGATTGGTGCCCCAGCATCAGGGCTATGCGCACGACTACAGTCCGGACATAAATCCGGCCATAACAAATGAATTTTCCGGTGCCGCATATCGCATGGGGCATTCTAGGTTCGTTTCGGGATTTACTTTGTGTAGCATACGATAATTCTTTGGTTCATTTTCCCCGTTTCTAGTGTCGATGGAAAGTTTCACATACGGGGGGAGCATGGCCATATCGATGAGGTGATCAACATACCGGATGTCATGTTCAATCCGTCGCGGATGCGCAAGCGCGAGTTCTATGACGATATGCTGCGCACGCTCTACAGCCAGCCCATGCAGCAGATTGATAGCTCAATTACCCAGGGAGTGAGTAATATCCATGCGCATCCTTGACTCTTCAGTAACGTGTTTTCCGGTTCTCTTGAGCAGCTCAGTCGTTTCCTGTTCCGCGGTGATAATCCCTTTGGCTTGGATCTGGCTGCCATAAACATACAGCGTGGACGGGACCAGGGCTTGCGCACCTACAACGACTATCTGGAGCTAATGGGCGCCCGCAAGCTAAAGACTTTCGATCAGTTTCCCAGCGAGATTGGCCAGAAACTGGCACGCGTCTATAGGACACCCGATGACATTGATTTGTGGGTTGGCGGCCTACTGGAGAAGGCCGTTGATGGCGGTGTTGTGGGCGTTACCTTTGCCGAGATCATTGCCGATCAGTTTGCGCGCTTCAAGCACGGTGATCGCTACTTCTACGAGTATGATGCTGCCATCAATCCCGGTGCCTTTTCACCAAACCAGCTGCAGGAGATACGAAAGGCAACAATGGCTCGCCTCATATGCGACAATGCCGATCGCCTAACGCTGCAGGCAGTGCCCCTGGCAGCCTTTGTCCGTGCTGATCATCCAGGGTAAGCCAATGCCGCAAGCTCGCAAGAGTTTGCCAATAAATTGAGCCTCTCTTTTTGTTTGTTTTTTTGTTGCAGCAACCAAATGATTGGCTGCGATGATCCCAATCTGCCTGACATGAACCTGAATGCCTGGCGCCTTTGAGTTTACTTTTTAATTACTCATTTTCATATTTATTTTATCAAATGTTTTTTAAAATGGCTAAATTATGTAACACTAAAGCGAAATTAAAGTCCAATCGAATTGGCATGATTATTGGCCCCATCTCTGTCCCTGATGGAATGTTTGTAATGTTTGTCCCCTTTCACTTACCTTGAATTTAATTGGATTCTTGTCGATTTGTTTATTATTCCAGTAGCTTTTTGCAGATATTTTACAGACCATTTAATCGGGTAATTGCATCCAAAGAGAATGCGAAATGACTTGAGTATATGGAGAATTTGTGTTACTTTAATTGTGCCACCAACACACCACAAACATTATTTACACTGCATGCTATTCTATAGGATTTTATGTACAAATTCTGATACAGGAAACACGTCAAGTCGTTGGCCTTAGTTTCGATTGTGTCGTGTCAGCATTTGATGCTCATACAAATATTCGTCAGTCGCAAGTAGAGCTGCGAAGCGACAACAACTAAACATACAACAAGACAAATAAAATACAAAGTAAATGTTAACTGGTGAGTAATATACGAAATAGCCAAAGGAAACTTTTGTTTCATGCCAAATGGTGGGAGCGGAAAATAAAGAGAACATTGATCAAGAGCCCGCTAATGCTGCCCGTCCGATGATCAACAACGCCAAGGTGCGCGTCTACAATGTAGCAACATCGCAGGCTCGCATGCGTAATGCCACCGCGAATGCTGGGCCAACTGGCAGCCATCCCATCCCTATTAACTTGCGTTAATATGACTTTATGGAGCCATACAGCAGGAGGCCTTGCGGAAAATGGTAAGTAATACTAAAAGAAATTCACAGAAAGCTGTTAACAAACATACAAATTGTAATTCCGCAGACACAATGCTGCCAAGCAGCACAACAACAATATACACAGGTTCCATAGATATCGAGTATCAGTATAGCTATCGGTGCTGTCCGTTGGTGAGACGCCCGAATCATTGCGTACTCCAACCTATCAAGTTAATAATCACTGATATATCGATTGCGATGTGCAGAAGATACAAAAATCAATAAATTTGAATGGTGTGATTGAATTTTATTTTTGAATTTTACCTATCGATTCACATGTCGGTTCACATTAGTTCGGTTCAGTGGTTCCAGTGAATAAATGAACCGGAGCGGTAAATTCAAACACAATTTCACATTTTATTTTGCATACACACAAAAATGTCTTTATTGTTTCGTTTTTTGTTTTTGTTTTAGTTGGTTTTTAGTTCTCAAATGTTTGGTATACGTTGTGTCTGTTGTTGGAAATACATAGTTCTGCTATTAATACGCTAAAATCTATTTGAATTCGGTTCCGTTTCACGATTACATAAATACAATTTTTTTTTGTTTTTTTCTTCAGTGTTTTGTTCGTTTTTGAAATGTTTGTATGGTGTACGTCTTGAAACCAAATCAATTCGTTGGGGGGACTGTTTGTGTGTTGTGGGCGGGGTTGTTGACTAAACCAAAACGTAGTTTTTTGCTTGGTCTTTTGGGGCACAATGCGATGCAAGGGAACAAAGGTGAACAAATGCTGTTTTCTTTTCATTAGATATATGTACACATACATATGTATATATATATTATTTTGGTTTACGTTTGTACTTTGTGGGAAATGAGAGTTAGTTTCTTTTTGTTTTTGTTCCTTTGTATTTGTTAGTGTTTGTTAGCTTTGCGTTTACTGGTTTGGTTCCACGTACTCCACGTACTCGTTTACTAGTTTTCTGGTTTGCTTCTCGTCTTGCAGCATGTAATGTACGTAAATATGTATGTATGTATGTATGAATGTATTTATATTTGTTTATATGTATTTTTACTTTCGTTTATGTTTTATTATAGAATTCTTGTGTTAAACATTTATAAATATGCATTTTTGGTTGACTTTCCATTTCGTGCCTTACTTTTCTTTCTGTAACATTTACTATTTAAGGGCAACTTAATTGGATCCAACAATTTTCTGCTTTCTGCTACAGGACGCCCCCCTTATTTCTCCTCCTTCTCATCCACCACAGTGTACAACATTTAAAGCTTGACTATATTTCTGTTGGTTATTTTTGTTTTTGGGTTGGCGTTGAGTTGGAATTTTGTTGTTGCGAGCTTTGGAAATGAAGGCACCCCCCCACCCTGCTACAATCAAATATCGCTTGCTAATGCAACATTTAACATTTATGTATGCTTGAAAAACATTCAATCCAATCCCCCCCTCCCCCATATATGTATGTATGTACATATACATATTTCTATTTCTATATCTTTATCCTTTTCTTTTTTTTTAGCTTTTATTCATTCTTTTAATGTTAATGGTAAAAAAATTAAAAAAAAAATCTTTTGCCCTTCATTTTGGTTCACGCAAAAGCACGCACACAGACACACACACACATATGCACATATGTACATATGTTTTCTCCTCTAGTATCCCCTGGTATAATCCTTTTTGGCATTCAGTGGGTGGTGGGAGGGGGGGGGTTGCTCTGTTCCAATTGGAAGATTTTTGTGGCTGACTGTGTGGGGAGAGTGGTTCCAAGCCTTGGACTTGTCTCTGTGTGGCACTTTCTTCATCCTTTTATCCTCCTCTACTATATACTCGTTAATATCGTACTTATATAAGTATGTTTAAAAATTAGTACCACACAGGAGAGATTCAATTTCAATTTTAATTGTAAGGGTGGGGGGTATGACCTTTAAAGCAAGGTTTGCAAGTACAAAGTCTGGAGAGGAATGTTTCCAAGCCCAGGCTAATTCCAGGCCACTTCTATAGTAGCCAACGAATTATCCTATTCAAAGTACACACAAACTTATGCACATATGTATGTGCATACAAATGTATTTCTGTGGCTGGTGCTCCGTTACAAGATGAATTTGGTCACAAGGTGGCGCCTACACCACAGGAAAGTCTCTTTCTGTCTCTTACTGTGAGCGTGGTGAATAGGTTATTGGTTCTCCCCACAGCGGACAATGTCACCTTCCAAGTGAATTCACCTTGTGGCGGCTTGTTCATTGAACTACTTTGAAAATGTCTTTTAAATATATTTCCTCCTTCCTTTGGACATGAGTAAATATGTATTCAATATGTATGCTTCATATTGTTTTTTGTTTTTAAAAGTAATTATCAATATATACAAAAAAAATAACGTTCAGTCAATTATAACTATATTTATATACGATTACGAATACCCAACAAACACCAAAAAAAATAAAGAGCAACCAACAAATAACATATACACATACACGTACACATTCATAGGTAAAAGGAATAACAAAAAAAGTCACACATGCGAAACAGTTACACATGGGAAGAGGAATAGGAATGGGGTGGGGTGTGGGAATGGGAATGGGGGACTGTGGTTGGGGTTGGGGGGCACACACACGCACATGGGTACATCATATAACTGGATACATGATGGTTTGTTTTGTTTCCTTTATGATAGAAATTGTATTGCATTTTGCATTTACATAATCGTATTTTGGGTTCTTGGTTCTCCCCTACGCTTCTTCATCCCTACGACATTTTACATCGACATTGTTTCACATCCTCCCTCCATCTACCTCTCGCACTCTCTCTCTCTCTCTCTTGTCACACACTCTATTGTTGCTCGATGACTTGTTTTTGTTAATTATTTAATACACATATGTTAATAATCAGTCGCATAAATGAATCACCTTGCTTTGCTTTTGTTTCCTTACATTTTTCCATCCGCACGGGCTTTGGTCACTGCTCACTGGGGGCCCTTAGCCTGTCCATCCGTCAACCGTCAGTTCTCAAGCAACAAACTAAGAAACTCTACCTAAGTAACCCTCTTATGTGTGTGGTTCCATCAGAGCAAACAGATCGAACCCAACTTTGGCGTACAATAAAAAGGCAACAAACAATTGAAATAGAGTTCTAGTAAATGGTATGGAAAAACGCATGTGTTGAGAGTCAACTTTCACTGGCTTTCTTTAAGCTTTTCTTTTAGCTTTTAGCTTTTCCTTTTCTTTTCCTAGTGCTGCAGTATGCGCGTCTTTTCGGCCAGAGCCGTCTCTGATTGCTCCAGCCGGCGCTTGCTGCTGTAGTTGCACAGCTTGCCAGAGACCTTACTGAGGGTGGTGGAGGTGCTTGAGGAGGTCATGAGATCGAGCACCAGAAGGCTGTTGTCCAGCTCGTCGAGAGCGGAGAGCGACGCACTGGTGGTGGTGGCCGTGATGAGGGTGCTGAGGTTGCTGCCGCTGCTGCTGCTGCTGCTGCTGCTGCTGCTGCCGCGATCGGGATCAATGTCGATGTCGCTTAGCTGATTGGCCAGCGGATCCTCGTCGTAAGGATCGTAGGGGGGTCTTAATTATTGTTTGAACACAAACAGACCCGTGGGGTCCCACTCGTTGTCGTCGACGGGCCCGAAGCACTCATCGAAATACCATTCCATGGTCTTGTACACATGACTGAGCGATCTGCCGATCGCATGATCCTCATCCGGATACACCTGATGCCGGAACTTGACCTGCTGATCGACCAGTGCCCGCACCAGCATCAGCGTGTGCTCCTGATGCACCAAAGTATCCGCGGTGCCATGCATCAGCATCAGATTTCGTCCCTTTATGTTGCCCGCCTTCATGGTGAGATCCGCCTCCTGCAGTGCCCGCAGATAGTCGCCCTTCAAGGGTATATAACGTTCCGTAAAGAACGAATCTAAACGGGAATAAAGCGCATAGTCAGATGAGAGCCTGATGGGGGGATCGGGGGTAGGAAAACTAACAGTGGAATCCAAAGTTCACAATGGGATTGATGGACACCGCACACTGGAGCACCTGCTGGGAGTCATCTATGAGCATCATGGCCGATGCATAGCCGCCATAGCCCCAGCCAAAGGCGCAGATTCTCAAGGGATCAATGAACTTCAGATTGTCACGCAAGTATCTAAGAAAATACACTTCGATTTAGATATGTCTAACAGGTAGATAGATAGAGAAATACTCACGTGAGTACACCCAGTTGATCCTCAACCTCGACGGTGCCCAATTTGCCATGCACCTGAGTGCGCAGCAGTTCGCCCTGGAAGCCACTGCCGCGTCCATCGATTTGTGCCACAATGAAGCTCCGCTGGCTGGACAAGTACCAATTCCAGTCAATGTGAAAGCGTTCGGTGACCAACTGTGACCCAGGTGAGGCATCCCTAGAAGCCAACAAGAAACAGCCAATCGGTGAAAATATTCGGAGATGCTCGGCGGTTACTCGAGGCACTTACACATGCAGCACCAGGGGGAAGGCAACCTCCTCCTCCTCGCGCATGCCTGGCGGCAGAAAGAGTCGCACCTGGGCATGGAAGCCATGGCGAATCTCCACACTGAATGTCCGCATCTGTGGTATGGCCAGCTGGGAGAGGCGATGCCTGAGCACATCCCCAGCGTTGAGCACAAAGATCTTGTCATTGCTGGCCGTCTCCACCAGGTAGACGCTGGGCGCCTCTGGGCCGAGGCACTCCTGCACGTAGTAGCTGTAGTCGCCGCTGAACTGCACCCGATTGTAGAGACAGTTCTTGGGTATGTCGTAGATGCAGTCGTCCGGCTCGAGTCGGGCCACAATGTCCTCCCAGCTGTCGCCACGCGTTGGCATCTTCGAGGGATTGGCCCGGTGCAGGCGGTAGGTGGCCTCCGTGTTGTCGCACGTCAGGCATGTGGGCTGTGTGGAGGTGATGTACGTGCGATTCGATTCGGTGACATTCAGCTTGAGGCTGATCTTGTAGAGATGCCGCTCGCCCGGCCGCTTCTCAGGCGCTGCCATAAAGTAGACAATCTCGCGCGGCTCGTCCCAGCCGACTATTTCGGTTACCTCAAAGCGACCCATGGTCAGGGGCACTGGCCGCCGGTCCAGCGATGAGATGAACACCACATGCCGGTAGTGTCCGTGCTCCCCATCCCGCACTGGGAGCCGCTTCAGCAGGTAGCCACCATTGGTGATCTCGTAGGTGGTTTGCCCATTGCTCACATTGTTCGCCAGCGAATCGTTGCTGCCCATGGCCGACATCGTTGCCGACTCCTGCAACTGGAGCTGCAACTGGAACTGGAACTGCCGCTGGCCCTGGCCCTGTCCCTGTCGCATCTGTGCAGCTATGCGGGCGGAGAAAATGGGCCGCTCGGCGGGCAGCACCCAGCCATCGTTGATGGTCACCTCCGTGTGCACCACCTGGCAGTGGAAGCTCGGAGCCCGACATATGACAGTGGTGGCCTTCGTTTGGTCGCGATTCGTCACCGTCACCGAGAGATCGATGGGCGAGGCCCATGTCAATCCACCCACATAGCTGCCGTTAGCCAGATCCGCTGGCAGTTTGATTTGCGTCGGAAATATATACTTGATCACCGATAGATTCACCACGTTGACGGTGACATTGGGATTCCTGGCACCAGTCTTTGGATACCGTTGGCTCAACACGGCCGGATACTTGATGTCATCGCCCATCCAGGTGTACCTTGTGGAGTTGGAGTAAAATCAAAAGATATAGTTTTAGAGTCACAGATGGGATATGTTGGATTGTTCCCATGGAAATGCTACAGAAGCCTGTACAGCGCGCGGCAGCTCTGTTAAAGCAGCAGTATGATGCTGTGCTTTAACAGCTGTTACCGGCAGCTCTGTTATGGAAACACTATTATGTTAACGTAACAGTAACAGCATTATGTTAACAGTCGCTTACCGCCGCTCTGTTATAGAAACACTATTATGTTAACGTCCTGTTACCGACAGCTCTGTTATGCAGTAACAGCATTATGCTAACGTGCTGTTACCGGCAGCTCTGTTTGGTAATAGTATTATGTAAACGTCCTGTTACCGGCAGCTCTGTTATGCAGTAACGCATTCTGTTGAGAATATGTTACCGGCAGCTCTGTTAAAGCAGCCCAAGCAAGCCTGTGGACGTTTCGGTAGACTTTTGTTGGATTTATTAATAGAGCAATGCCCTGGTCAAAGAAATGTTTTTCCACCTACGGAAGCGAGCGGGTAATTAGGAGATGCCAGCCACCCACCACCCAACCCACCACAAGAATCATTGCCGTTTGACCTGTCTCGCTTTATGTTGTTTTCATTCGAGATGTTAGTTTAATGACCGTTGGATGTTGTTCCAATTCCCAACAATTTTTTACGATGCCAAACAAATTTGGTTAACAAAATTGTATACAAAAGTGAGAACCACAAGGGGGAATACAGAGCTGAAGAGGGGAGAGACGAATGTTCTCATTGGCAGAAAATGTTGCAGATCAGATAGATTTTCGACTGGGAAAAAGTCACACAGAGTTCGCTTTTTGATGTAGTAGGAGGAGGAGGATCAATTGATTGCTCGGCCAACACTTACTTGTACTCGTTGACATCGCTGTCATTGTAGCTGAGAAATGCGAGGAAGAGGCCATCTGGCGAGAAGGCCATGCCGCTCCGTCGGCTATCCAGCTCTGGGACATGCTCGTACGTCCAGTCGGGCACGCCGTTAAAGAAAACTCCACCCATGCCCGTCTGTGTGATGCGGCAGACCAGCTCGCCCTGCACCTTTGGCTTGTAGTAGATGTCGTTGTGGTGCACAAAGGCAATGGCCTGATTGAGCGTGTAAACGCCACTGCCAGCCCCATTGCCACCTGAGCTTGAGCCCGGTGTTGGCGGTGTTGTTGTCTTGCCACCGGCTGCCGCCGCACCGGCCAGGCTATTCAGAATGATGCTGCCACTGGGCAGCGGTGCCATGGTGGATGTTGTGGCTGCTGAAGCTGCAGATGATGGCGGAGGTGGATTGATGGGTGCCCACACGACATGCTGGAGACGCGGCGCTTCGGCAATGTTCTCTGTTGGTCCCAAGGGAAATGTGTTGGCCGTTTGTACCTCATACACGTGATGTCTAAAATGATATAGAGGGTGATATTCAGCATAAAGGTGGTCGGTGGGTTGTAGCTGTGTGTCTCTACCTGGAACCCTCTGAGTTGCTGTCCGACTGCAGGAGCACATATTTCTGGTCCGGTGCCACAAGAAACGATTCTGCATTCAATTGCCGCTGAACAAGAGAGAGAGAGAGAGGGAGGCAAAGTAGTGGCAAAGGCTAAGTCATTACCCAACACTGGTGTACTTACAAATGTCGAATTTGTCATTAGAATGCGTGTGGTGAGATCTGCCATGTTGAGTATGGACAGACCGCCCGTTGGATCGCGATAAATGAGTTCATGCTCTGCAAAGCGAAGTAAATAATATAAGAAATGAATGAATAAACCTTTGATGGGTTTGGGGGCGATCGACTCCTACCATTACTCCAAGTGCCATTGAAGGGCTTCCACTGCAGGCTCTTGCCGAGTATATCGCTGGGTAGCATGCGACGACCGCGGATCCTGAGGCCCTCATCCTCCGGCGATAGCAGAAATATTGAGAATATGATCAGGCTAAAGACGGCAGCGATTACCAGGAGGGCTATGAATATTCCACGCCAATTTCGACGTTCGGGCGATATTGCCACCAGCTCCTAAAATGACAACAAAAAGGGACAACGAGACGGACTTGCCATTAATTTCGTGCTGAAATTTGAATTACAATTTCCACTTAGAACAAAAGTTCAGCCTAAAGTTAAGCTTAAGTCTAGAGTGAAGCCATTAAGCTGTCCCTTCGCGAGTCCTGTTCATAGTTCGCAGTCATTTTCCTAGTTAATTGCACAGAAAGGCTGCGCCTTGTTTTTCTTGTGCCTCAACCACCCATCGGTTTTAATCAATCTAATGGAAACCAAGTATTTAACCAACTAACTCATGAGGAAAGGCAAAGAATGAATTATTTTTTGCGTATTTACTTTGACCCACCCCCCCCAAGCAATTGTTGGAGACTAAAGTTGGAAATTTCCCAATTGCCAATCAATTTCCACAGAGGGCAGACCCAGCGACATGCAGCTGAAATTTCACAGCCAAAGCTATCGTTGGATGCATCTCAGTGGATGGGCTGATGGGTTGTGGTGTCAGCGTCCTTGAGGCGCTTAATTGACAAGCGAATGGTAAAGAAATTAAGGCCAAATTGCACAAAAAGTACACACACACACAGACAGACACACGATGAGTGAAGGAAGCTCAAGCAATGGTTACCCTGGAAAATGAAAGCCACACACATGTTCTGGCCATTCACTCATGAGAGATATTTGGCCAGGGTATGGCTGCTGCAAAAGAGCGTGGACTTAACTATTCGAATGCATTTTGCATGTGAGCAGAGGGAAAACTTTTGACACGCCCACTCCCAGGGGAGTGCCCGGAGACCTCTCCCAAAATTCGTATCTTATTCTGTGTGTGTGTGTGTGTGTGGGTGGGTTTTATTTGCTGGCTGGGTTTTTTGTTGTTTGTAAATTTGATTTCAGCCTCTGGTCCCCGAAGTGGTTTTGCATTCATTTGCAAACATCAGAGCTTGAATCGAATTAAAAATGTACCAAGTGGGAGCAGCCGAGGAGGGAGGGATCGATGCAGTCGACTGGAAATGGAAAACCACTGGCGAAAATAGAAATTTCATGTTTGTGCGGGCATTCGGGGCACAACCAGAGGAGCGATGCAGGGGCAGTCTCTAATTGAAATTAGTTGCCCAAAGGCCCCAGAGGTACCACAAATTCGATTAGATTGAGGTCTTGAGGCGTCCTGAACCACGCTCAGAGGTTGCTGGAGTTTCATGGCATGCCAACTGGCCACTTTATGCTGAAGAAAACGATGTGCATGCTTTTGGTGGAAGTTTTTATGATTTTTTTTGCTTTTGTCTGATTTTGATGTGCTCATATAACCTCAAGAGTCTTTTAAGCAAAATTGTGCAATTATCCATAAAGTCATGGAAATGGAAGCACTTGATGTCAAGTGCTTTGGATGGTTCTGGGCGTGCTGCCATCATTGTTCTTACGTTTAAATCCAAGCCCGAAGAAGGGTTCTCCCGCTTCGCTTGGTCGCGATAAACATGACACAAACACCCACGTGAGAGAGGTGCACAGCCTCCTTCCCGTTGCACTTTTGTTGGCTTTATCTGTCCGAGCGGAGTGGATCCACTTCAATCGAGAGTCGTAAATGCCACCTGCCAACTGCCATTTATTGTTTCGCTTCTTTTGTGTATCAAAAACACCTTTGTGGGGGCCAATTGTCACAGCTTTGTGTGTTGTGGGGGCTTGTACTTTCTGCCATTAATAGCTAATGAAGGGACAACAAACGCAGGAACCCAAGGATTGCTGTCTGTTATCCCTGTCTCGGTTCCCTTTCATTTCCAGCGACACAATTGAATGCAGTTTAATAAAAGAAAAACGAATGAAGACTTACTGAATATTTCACTGGAATTCGAGTAAAATTTAAATTAAATGTTTGCCCTTTCATTGGCTATTTAAAAATCCTAATCTTAATATTAATTGTCTTTGGGGCACAACAAAAGTTTCTCCACACACAAAACTCCGACCTGGGGCAAGTGTCGAGCCACACTTTTCCGGTTGTCGGCACTCAACTCTCGGCTTTTAATTAGAAATCGCCCAACATAAATGGAGAGAGAGAGAGGCACACAGCAGATAGGTACGAGGCAAGCTACATTGCCAGCGGAGGAATCGACAGAGGGACCTTGTCCAGAAATGTTACCCGAGAGGGGAGACCCGAAAAAGAATCATTTGCAACATTGATGGGACCCCACAGCGAATGGAATGTGGATGATGAAGGCAACTGGGGCATGCCGCAAAGTGTGGCCCATACATGGAGCATGAAACTTGCGTCATTATTGTGACTTTGTTGCCGCCACTCTCCTTGAGGGAACGTTCCCCAGGCATGACAATTATTAATGAAAGGGTACACTAAGCCCTCTCCCTGCTCCTCCTTGTGCTCCTGCTCTACTCGCCATTTGCCTGGCATGCAAAATTTATTGTCTACTTTTATTTATTGATCCTAGTTTTCATTCTCTGTCTGCCATCGCCATCGCCATCGCCATCGCCTTATCGTGGCCACAAATTGCTGCACAGCTAGAGCGAGAAAAGGCCGTGGCCAAACAGAGCAGAACGGAAAGGAGAGTTCCAGCGGAAGTATTTGTTCGAATGCGAAAAGTATAAGCCGATTGTCGAGGCCTTCTCTGATACTTTTTCCACAAATAGAAATCGATAGAAAATACCATTAAATGCGCTACAGAAAGTACTCTGCAGACTGATATTATAATTGGTGGATCGAAAGCATTTAAATGTAGGAAAAGGCCTTTATCGCTGAAAGGGAAAACCCTTTCGCCAGTGACTTGAGTTTAAATCGATTTCAGGGCGTACAAATCCTTTTCTCATTTCCCTTTTCCCAACACAAATCTCAAATGAGGATAATTAAATGCGAATCAGTGCACTGTCGTCTGTCGTCCGTCCCCACAATCAGCAAAAAGTGAAAGTTTTGTGGGTGAGTCCTTCTCCCTCATTCCATTTCTCATTTCCCCCGAGTCGAAGAAAGTTTGTCAGCTTCTCGTAGCCGAAAATGAGTTTCAGTTTGAGTTTGAGCAAGAGCTGAAAGGGCAGACGCATTCCTGGGTAACGTCCAACTGATTGCCTTCGCTGACAAAATTAAATTTAATGCCAAACATAAAGCAAAATAATGATCGTTTGGGAGTCTGCAAAACTGCGCCATCAATTTTATTTGTCTTTGTGTATTAATTGCTGCTCTGCTCTTCAAATACAAAAGAAAGTTTGAAGAAGTACACACGAGAGAAGGTAATAAAAGCCACTTACTAGGGGCCACTTATTTATGGCCAAAGATTTGCGCAGAAGAACAAAAAGTTGCTTGCCATCGGCTGCTTTTGATGGCCTTTGCCCCCTGAGGAGGGTTTCCCTTATACCTAAATGTAGAAGTGCCAATCGATATGGCAAATCGAGTTTCGTGTTTTATTTATGGCCAGCCAGGACCAGGACCAGGACCAGGACCAGGAGCCAACCAAAAAATAATGAAATGCCAATCGAAAGTTTTTCGGCAATACCCGGCCAAGCCCATCGCAAAATTACCCATTGCCTGGGGGGGGAGCTCGGTAGCTCCAGTGTAGATATATTTTGAAGAATTTATAAACTGTGAAATCTGCGGGCCAGGCCACTGACTATTGTTTTATTTATGAAATACGGCGCATAAAGGACTCGATGGTGCTGTGCACGAGGGCAAAGGGGAGTCCAGGAACCAAGAAATATGTTCTGCCCCTCGAGCGTTTATCTGCGCCGCGTCCAAAAGCAATTAAATGCGCCCTTGCAAAAGGGAAATCCCACTTAATCCCAGCCACTCCGTGCCTAGGCTACATCCCTTCCTCCATGGCTACAAAAACATTTGCATACTTAATTAACTTGTCTTAAATATTCGAGGGCAAGCAAAAACAAAGCAACTTATGGTTTTAAATGTGACATTTCTGGATACAAATTGGCCAGAGACGGTGACGGTGCACGCCTGGAAATATTCCTCAGCGGCGCTCGTACAAAATAATATAAAGACAGGCCCCTTGCGTCCATTAAAGTTGTGAATGAAACCATTGTTAAACATAAACAAATGACGTTGTAAGGTGCGAAAATATTACCCCAAAAAAAGATACAGCCATTTCCGCTCGGTCCCCTCTCGAGCCACTCGGATGGGCACTAATTTATGCAAATTACTCAGGCCTAAAAAATATACAGTTTGCTGGGTTTGCCCGTAGTTGGGTATTCTCACCTCATCCTTGGGCACCAGAGTCACCTTCTTGATGGTTGGGGCACTGCTGTTGTTTACAACGACCGTTTCACGTTTGAGCGATGGTCGCTTCAATGCCGAATGCGGCTTTTGTATCTCAACCATAACGATACGCCGCCAGATGCGAATGCTGAGGCTGAGGCTGAGGCTGATTATGATACATAGAGTCATAGATGATATCCCGAGATGTTCATGTTGTTGTTGATGAGCATGATGACAAGGAGTTGGGCGGGTGATGAGAGATGGCTTTTATTAGTTTGTCTGCGGAGGAAAGTTGCTGTGAGTTGCCGTGAGGACAGTGAGGCTCCCAGGCGGTTCGGCTCTTTGTTGCTCTTTTCATTGTTGGAGAGCCTCTAGCTTTAGCTTAAGCGTCAGCTGCTGCCTGGCTGGCAAGTCAAACGGCTCATTAATCAAACGAAAATGGCCATTATGGAATGCATTAGAGGGCATACACTGCGAAGAAATTCTCAGTTCTTATTCTATTCCCCAGATTGGACAGTGTTTGCAGCTTGCTAAATGACGATGCACCTTGTCGTGGCTCGGACAGAACGCATCATTGTCTTGGGCATCATCTCAATTAGAGATGTGCGTCGTAAAGATTCGGCTGGAGGAACCTGCTTCTGCCTCGGCTCTTCCACTGATGTGGCATCAGCCCCAAAAAAAGGGCCTGTGTCTGTTTGTCTGTCGGTTTTAATGAGCTGTTTATGCAATCATCAGTCAGGCAGCAAGGGTAGAGGAAAGGCCTCCCAAACAGAATGAAAATTTGCATAATCGCAGAGAGCAGGGAAGTCATTCGAGGGAGCTTGGGTGTGGGTGGAGGGATGTCCTTGCTCGCTTGACTTAACCTGAACGCAGCCGCATAATGTGACCGCCGATTTCAGGATTATAATGATGCTTCGCACCACTCCCCCTGCTGTAAGTTTAAGCTGTTGATTCAATTTTCTGGCAGTGTTTGGTGCCAGCAGATAAACGACTTAGTCGCAAAATTCTCTAACAACAACAAAGGGGAAAAGAATTTCCCAAAAATTGAATTAGACAGAGAGCCACAGAAGGCGGGGTTGGGGGTGTGGCATGCTGGCACATGTGTGAGGAAAATCTTTACTCAAAGTATTAGCATAAACAGAAAACTTTCGCTGGCCGTGGAAAGGGAAAGCAAGCGCCAGCTGCTGGAGAGAGAGAGAGAGAGGAGAAAAAGGAGAAAATGTTCGGTTAAAGCTTCAGACACATTTGCAATTTGCATATTGGAGGAGGAATCGTGGAGAGGTGGAGAGGCAGAGTCTGCCATTTGGCCTATGCAAATGCTTGCCTCGTACAACGCAGCGTATGATTGATGTGTCGGTCAGCAGCAGCCAGCTGAGAGAGATGTGGCAGCCCCTCTGTTTGCCTAGGTCTCACTCTCCCTCGGCCTTACATATATATTTTGTTTGCATTCTTTTCTCGAGCATTCAATGGCTTTGGCACACTCGTTGTTCGCTTTCTCTTCAAAATATGCACTGAACACTCGCCTCGCCTCGCCTCTTTTGGTGGAAAACTTATCAGAGAGGAAACTATTTTTCTGGCCATGGGGGAAGGGCCGCTGTCGGGCAGAGTTTGGCACAATTTTCAGCTTGAACTAAAGCCAAGAAAAACGAGTATGAGTTTGGCATGCATTTTTAATGATGAACTTTTCCTCTAGAGATCTCCTAGAGAACGCTCAAATCAAGAGATTTACCATAGAAGTGTTCCTGAACAGCCTGACAGCTGCTTCCCTGCCCTGCATCACCCATTTCTATTTGCCTCTATCCTTTGGCCTCTTTTTGGGGTAATGATCTGTCTTGTCTTGGAAATATGTGACGAGCATTTAGTCCCAGTGCGTCCCAATATCAGCATCTTCTGGCAGTCCGCAGAGTGGAGGAGGCAGGATTTTCATTCACAAAGAAGTGGCATACATCAATGCCAAAGATACACACACACACACAGAAAGGCAGAGAGAGAGAGAGAGGACTGCCTGCCATGCACATCTTGCCACATCTTGAAGCTGTGTGCAAACAAAAGGAGAAATGTTGGCTGGAAAGAGGCACGTGGAAAAAAAAATATATAGCTCTTGGCTTTAGGTTGGGTAAACTTTTTGTCTTTTTGTATTTATCCTCCTCTCTCTTCATTTCTCTCTCTACTCTCTGTCTCACTGTGGCATAAATAACAGAAAGACAGACACACGAGACCGCTGACATATGGACAGGAGGCTTACAGCGGGGGAGCACTCGCATCGGTGTGGCAGTTCATTTGAAACAGCTGCTCTCTGCTATTTGGTTTATTTTTCTGGGCTGCAGTTTGATGATAGTGGAGCAGGCATTGACACAGTTTGCACAGTGGTTTTTGCTTGGATTTTGTTCGCCTTTTGAGCAGGGAATTCAAAATTTCTCTACAGCTTTACGTGTGGCACACAACAGGACACACTCGTCCTGCTCACAATTGCTGTTCATTTGTCTTTGTCGTTGATTGTTTGCCACTCATTTTCATATAGTAAGAGAGGAGAGTGCGGAAAACCTCATGGCATGGGTAGACATAACAAATGGCGTAGCAACATCAGCTGTTCCAGAACAACAGCTCGGGTCTCCTGCTCCTGCCACTGCTCCATCCTGACTTCAGAGAGTACAGCCAAAAGGGGAGAATATACAAACCTTTGGTAGCAATTATGTCAATTTTTATCAAGCAAAATCAGCAATCGAATCATTTCGAGTGAGCAAAATCAGAGATGTACTTGACTACACTTCCTCATATCTTTTTTTCTGTTGCTATTTTTTGTTCGATATTTCCACTGCAAACGGAGCACTAAATCCCAGGAACATCAGCATGCTCGTAGCTATGGAAACACTGCAACCTCTACCCTGCTATTTCTAAAGATAAACACCCAACAGAAACGTTGGAAATAGTCAGTCAGCAGTCAGGCAGCTTTCGACATTCTTTTGAGCAACTTTCCCCCGCAAAATGGCGGCTACCCTCCGCATCAAATTGCCGCGCACCTTTTTTGTTTGTTTGTTTGTTTGTTTGTTTGTTTGATGAAAGTGTTTTGCTCCGAGTTTCTTTTTTGGTCTGTTTTCAACGTTTTGTCGTAGAAATGTCCCTGTTTTGGGTTGGCTGGGGTTTTCCCTCTGGCTGATTACATTTTTGTGTGTGTGTGTGTCACGATTGGAGTATGAAGCGAATGAATAAAATAAATAGCAACAATAGCCCAGAGCTCAGAGAGTGAGAGATGTGAGTTTGAGTTTGAGTTTGAGCTTAAGCGGTGGCGCGAACGAAAGCGACGACGGGAGACAAGAGACGTGAGAGAACGTGAGACTTGAGGGACTCGAGACTCGACTCTAGAGAGACGGAGACGAAGACGGAGACGGAGACACGAGAGAGCGTTGTAGGACGAACGACGACGCTTCCGTGCGGAAGTCTGGCGGCGACTGACGGAAAGTGAAACTAAAAAGAAGAAAACGGTACATTCCACCAGGCCCCAATATCTGCGTCTGCGTTGCCATGGTATGTGTGTGTGTGTGTGTGTGTGTGTGCGTACAAGTGTTCGTGTGTATTTCCCTCTGTTGCTGTGTGTGTGTGTGGCCCCTATGCCGGTTGTTCGCTTTTGTTGTTATTGTTTACGCTGCACACACACAAATATACAAAATTTACACACACACACGCACGCACACACGCACACACACGCACACACACACTTGAATGACGAATGGTGACCCGAAAGCGACATTCAGCTGTTTTGTTGTGCCAGCAAAAAAGCTCTTGCCTAAAAGCTATCTAGGATTCCCTCTCAACGGTACCAACGGGAACCACGAAAAGCTTAATTTAGTAGGGCTTCCTACCCCCAGTTGCCACATGTGCTTAAAGCATTTAAAGAGTCCTAGAACCATACAATAAGGTTCAACGAACAAAACGTTTCAATCACTTTAAAGTGTTAACTATAAATAACTTATTAAGAATTTATTCTCCTGTTTTTGGTCATTTTACTCGAGAATTTTGATGTTTGAAACCGTCAAGCAAGCTCACCCTTTCATGTTAATACCCACTAGAAGTGAGTTATTCATAAGCTTTAGACCCATGATGGTACATATATTCCGATCGAAGCTTTACACATTTCTCGAGGGCTTTAAGTCCTTGCCATAATTGTAGCTTCAAACTTTATAGAAAGGTTTGCCAAATGAGCTTCAAAGCTTTGGACCTTTCAAAGCTACTTTTGCGACAAAGAGCCAACAAAATGTTTCAACTTTAAAAGTTGTTTGCAAGAAAATGTAATGGTGAATGAAAGCGCTTTAAGTTCACACCCAGAAAGCTATGTTCGGTTTTTATAGAGCTTGTTTTATTGTAGTAAATATTACTAAGACTTAGTGTCTGAAAGGGTGGGGTAGCCGGCAAATGGGAGAAGAGAAGGATGCTGGGGCAGACAGGAAGCAGCAGGAATACAGAATTGCTTACGTTTAGTTGTTTTTCTGCTGACTTGAGCACTTTTCAATGCTCCGCATACAATGTACAATGTCAACTGCAGGTAGCACAGAACCCGCAAGCCACTGGATAAACCCAAAAAGGGGAGAAGACCAAGGGGGGGTCCAATGGGAATTGAAGGACAGGTTCACCGGTTCCATTGAACCATGATGAAAAGGAGATTATGTGGTGGATGGGTTGAGTCCGTCTCGGGATTCCATTCTATGCATTCCACCGCAATCGACGTGTCACGGAATTCCGAGAACTTTACGAGTATTTTCTTTGCGGAAATGCTGCAAAATGAATGCGATTTCGATACGATTACAGATGTGACAACAGCCAGACGAGAAGGCAGCGGGCGGCAGGGCACTTGATGCCGCTTGAAGGCAGGAATTTGCCACACACTTGATTTACAATAATCGCCCTTGACAGGGGAAACAGCAGGTGAATACAAACAAAAAAAAACGTCGGCAAATAAAAGATAAATGTAAATGCCTGTCACTATATTTGTCCAGGGTGCAGGGTGGAAAAGAGAAAGTTGCACCCTGTATGCCGAGTGGTCTACGAGTGGCAAATATCCCAAGATTCTGTTGACCAAATTCACCCAAGAGCATATTTATGTTTATTGAAAACATATGTGCATAAAGTAAAGAGACGACAAATGGATTATTCAAAATGTATGCCATAAAAAATGCTGTACGCATT